GAGAATCTTTGTCTTCTTGACATTGAGCCTCAGTCCATACTGAAGGCTGCAGTCCTTGACCCTCTGCAGTAAGTGCATGAGGTCCTAGAAAGACAAATAAATGTGTTACTCTCTGGAATGCGGGGGACTTTAGGAGGAGCAGAAAAGGAGAGACTGACAGGGAGGGGACTGGGGTTTGGGCATGTGAAATTGGAGACGCTCTTTCATTACAAGTTGAGTAGGCAATTAGAGAGGTGAGTTGGCTACTATAATTACAATGACAGTCATTGTTATTAAAAGTGTGATTGTTAGATGCCTTCAAGATGACTAACAGTGATAGTGACTGTTTGAATAATAGCTCTGATCTCTGCCCTTTCCTGTACCATCCTTACACTCTCCCACATGTTCCAACCTCATTGTCACTGTGTTTGTCCATCTTATTAAGGGTCTTCCTCTCTTTCTCTGGCCCTTCACCTCCTCCAGGACCATGTCTTTTTCTAAGAACTAGCCCATCCTAATAATAACATGGCCCAAATTGATGAGAGGTGGTTTCATGATCCTTGCCTTAAGGAACAACTAGCTAACAATTCCTCAAAGACAGACATTCTTATTCTTTCAGTGGGCTGTTCAACACTCCTCTCCAACACCACAACTCAGAGACATCCATTCTTCTCCTGTCATCCTTATTCGTTGTCCAACTTTCAGACGTATAGGAAGCAATTGAAAATACCCCGGCTCAGATCAGGCACACCTTTGTGTTTCCACTGGCATTAATTGTTAGAGTAAAGCCCCTATAAACTGAAACAGGCCTTTACATATTTCTGTTTAAATGGGCATCACCAAATTATTGTTAGAGAAAGCCTCAATGGTCATTACTGTTAGAGTAAGCTGCTATCAGTATTACATTACTCTTTTTAAAGAGGCCCCAATAAATATTACTTCTGGGGTGTAAGCCTCTATAAAGATAATGTGTAGGCTCTAAGAAATATTCTAAGATATTCTAATAAATAGTCTAAGATAGTGTGGGCTCCAATAAATATTCTTGCTTACTAAAATTGCCCTAGCTAAATAGTCCTATTTTATAGCAAATCAAAATTAAATAATGTGTCATTTTGACTCGTAGTGACCCTGTCTGTGGAACAGAATAAATATATTCCTTAGGAAGTTCTCACCGCCTAGTGGTAAGGAGTTGTGTTGCCTACCCAAAGGCACGTGGTTCACGTCCACTGCCTGTACCATGGGAGAAAGAGAGACAATCTTCTTCCCTGTCACTTTAGCCTCTGAAAACCCCCTGGGGGGGGGGGTGTCATCTATGAGCTGGTCCTGACTTGACCACACCACCACCAACAATCTTTTTAGGACAGATTGTTAACATCTTTCTTCTTGAGAGCATCCTTAGATTCTAACCACCAAACAAAACAAACTCAAGAGTTCACGCAGAGTTATAGTGACCCTGTCAGATTAGAACAGCCGAGGAGCTTCCAAGTCTGGAAGGCTTGAAAGAAGCAGGCTGTCCCATCTTCCCCACCTCCACCCGCCACCCCAGCTGGATTCAAAAGGCTGATCTCTGATTAACCACTTCCCCCCCAGCTCCTTTTGCATGATACACACACTCCCAGCCACAAACCACTGTCCTCAAGGTGAGGTTGACTCACAGCCACTCCCTCAACAGCTTTCTGAGATAGAATATTTACAAGAGACTGGCCATCTCTCTCCCTCAGACCAGTGGACTCAAATCTAACCTTTCAACCAGCAGCCTAACACGTTACACACTGTGCCTGCCACCAGGGTCCCTTCGTTTTATGTTTCCATTGCCATTGTGTTGATTCCCACTCAAGGTGACCCTTCATCAAGTTTCTGAGACTGTAAACCTTTTTTAATTAATATTCTTATCATTCATATGCATTGTGTTTCATGCATGTACTTAATGTTTATAAAGACTTTCATTTACATTGTGTTGTTGTTGTTGTTCATGTCTCATCGAGTCACCTGAGACTCATAGCGACCCTATGTACAACAGCCCTAAACCCTGCTCTGTCCTGTGCCAATCTCAGTGCCTCCAACACACCCATCCTGATTACCCCAGTCACTGAATCAGTCCATCTCATCAAGGGTCTCCTCATCCTGCACTGTCCCTCCACCCTCCCAAGCATGATATTCCTCTCCAAGGACTGGTCCCTCCTTACAACATGTCCAAAGTATTTTAGACGAAGCTTCAGAATCCTTGGCTTCAAGGAGTAGCCTGGTTTAACCCTCTCCAGGACAAACCTGTGCGTTCTCTTAGCAGTCCATTATATATTCAATACTCTTCTCCAACACAGCTCAAAGGCATCAATTCTCCTTCTATCCTCCCTAGTTATTTGTCCAGCTCTCTGACGCATAGCAAGTAATTGCAAAGACAATGGCCTGTATCGGGAGCACCTTAGTCTCCAGACTGACATCATTGCTCTTCAGTACTTTATAGAGGTCTCTAACTGGAGACTTTCCCATTGCAATATGTCTTTTCATTTCCTGGCTGCTGGTGCCAAGAGTGTTGACTGTGGAGCCAAGCAAACTAAAGCTGTGAACAATCTCAATCTCTTCACCATCTGTCATGATGCTTCCAGGTGGCCCAGTGGTGAGAATCTTTGTCTTCTTGGTATTGAGCCTCAGTCCATTTCATTATTTCATATTGCAGGTTTATTTAACCCCCCCCCCCAACTTTACAATCAATCATCTCACCAATAATTCCTTTCATGAAAGCATGTAAGTCCATATCCTCACTCCCTATTTTGATAGCTAATCATGGACTCCCATATCCCTATCAAACCTGTGTCTTAAGGGAGGAAGTCTGTGGGGAAACAGCCTTCTGAGGGAAGGAGAAGGTCATTGAAAGAGAGGAAGACCCCCAATGAGATGGGCAGACCTTCTGTTTGGCTTGGAAACTTAGAGCATCTGCATGCATCTTAGAGCAAAGCCCAGTCCAGAGCAAGCCATCAGGTTGCGGCTATTGACCTTGGCTCTCAGCATGAATCACTTGCTCTCCATCTGGTTGGATGTGAGGCTGTAAATCTTAAACAGGAGCAGACGATCTCATCTTCTGACCACAGCAGGGGCTGGTAGATCTGAACTCCTGTCCAACACACAATGACCTGTATGGCCAAGGCTCCTTTTATTTATTTTTTAAACTTTTATTAGTTTGTTTGTGTGTACCATCAAATCGGATCTGACTGGTACAGGAGAAGATTGCCCCTCCTTCTCCAGCAGAGCATCTGGTGGATTCGAACCACATACCTCTGGGATTGCATTGCAGCTTCTTGCCACTAGGCCACCAGAGCTCCCTAAGGCTCCCTTTTTTTTTAAGGTTGTTGTTGGGTGGGATCAAGTTGCCTGTGACTCAGACCCGATAAACAACACACAGAAAGTTGCCGGATCCCATGTCGGCCTCACAATCTCCACTGTAGTCAAACTTGTTGCTGCAGTCACCGTGTCAATCTGTCTCATTGGGAGCCTTTCTCTCTCTCCCTCTCTCTCTTTCTCTCTCTCTCTCTCTCTCTCTCTCTGACCTTGTATTTCTCCCAGCATGATGCCTTTTTCTACAGACTGATACCTCCTGACAACATGCCAGCATTCTCAATACGTGAAAATTCATTTCACTCTCCTTGCCTCCAAGAAGCACCCTGGTTGAAATTCCTCCAAGGTTGTTGTGTGCCTTCTAGTCAGGACTGACTCATAGCTGACCATCCAGCAGCTTTTCAGAGGCAGTAAATCTCACAAGAGCCGATTTCCTGTCTTTCTCCCACAGAGCAGCCCTCGGATTTGAACCATGCGTCACTGGATTGACAGTATTTACTCATTTAGCAGTCCTTGGAATTGTTAATACTCTTTGCCAACACAATTCAAAGGCATTGATTCTTTTTTCAACAGTCTGCATTATGCAGATGACACAACCCTGCTTGTTTAAACTGAGCAGGATCTAAAGCACTTGCTGTGGAAGGTCAGGGACTGCAGTCTTCAGTATGGATTGAGGCTCAACATCAAGAAAACATTCTCACCACTGGACCGATTGGCAACATCAGGATGGATGGTGAAGAGATGAGATTGTTCACAGCTTTAGTTTGCTTGGCTCCACAGTCAACACTCTTGGCACCAGCAGCGAGAAAATTAAAAGACATATTGCGATGGGAAAGTCTGTAGTTTGAGACCTCTCTAAAATACTGAAGTGAAACGATGTCATTCTGGAGACTAAAGTGCATCGGATACAGGCCATGGTCTTTGCTATCACTTGTTATGTGTCAGAGAGCTGGACAATGACTAGGGAGGATAGAAGGAGAATGGATGCCTTTGAGCTGTGATGTTGGAGAAGAGTGTTGAATATACCATGCACTGCTAAGAAAATGAACAGGTTCATACTGGAGAGGGTTAAACCAGGCTACTCCTTGGAGGCAAAGATTCTGAAGCTTTGTCTGACATACTTTGGACATGTTGCAAGGAGGGACCCATCCTTGGAGAAGGACATCATGCTTGGGAGGGTAGAGGGACAGTGCAGGAGAGGAAGACCCTCTATGAGATGGATTAACTCAGTGACTGGGGTAATAGGGGTGGGTGTGTTGGAGATGGTGAGATTAGCATAGGATAGGACAGAGTTTAGGGCTGTTGTCATAGGGTCCCTATGAGTCGCAGGTGACTCTAAGGCACATAACAACAGCAACAATTATTCATTGTCAAACTGTCACTGGAGACATCAGTAAATCTCACAGCAGTTGACATTTGCTTATTGGATTAGCCAGTGAATGTACGAAGTGACTTTTTGGGTCATGATCGCTGTGTGAAGAGACAGATGAGGAAGGTGACAGGTGAGGGAGGTGATAGGCTAGAGATTTAGTGTTTATAGTTGGAAAAACCACAATGGTTGGAAAGCAGACTGGGTGTGGTACAGTAGCCAGGAAGATTATATTTCCACAGCCTTTTATCCCAAGACTCAGAAAAGCAGTGGACTAAATGTTAATCTACTCCTTTCCTCAGTTGCGGAGAAAGTGTTTGGTTCTTCCAAGGAAGCTAAGGCCGTGGAATTGGGGTGAGGCCCTCACTTCATCCGGTGACTGACACTGTGCCCGGCAGCCTTCAGCCTTCAGCCTAGCACCACCATGCCATAGCCTCCATCTCTGAGCTCGCCTGCATCTCCTCGGCCCTTATCCTGCACAACAATGAGGTGACCGTCACAGAAGATACAATTAAGGCAGCCGGTGTCAGTGTTGAGCCTTTCTGGCAAATGGTCAGCCCTGGTAGCCCCATCTGCAATGTGTGTGCTGGTGGACCTGCCCCAGGCACTGGGGCCTCACCGGCTGGCAAACCCACCCCCTCGACTGCTGCCACTCCAGCTGAGAAGAAAGTGGAAGCAAAGAAAGAAGAATCTGAAGAGTCTGATAATGACCTGGGATTCGGTCTTTTTGACTAACCTCCTTTGATAACAGTCAACACTCTTGGCACCAGCAGCCAGGAAATTAAAAAGACGTATTGCGATGGGAAAGTCTGCTCCTAAGGACCTCTCCAAAGAACTGAAGAACAACAGTGTCAGTCTGGAGACTAAGATGCGCCTGCTCCAGGCCATGGTCTTTGCAATTACTTGCTATGCGTCAGAGATCTGGACAATGTCTAGGGAGGATAGAAGAGGAATTGATGCCTTTAAGCTGTGGTGCTGGAGAAGAGTACTGAATGTACCATGGGCTGCTAAGAAAATGAACAGGTTCATCCTGGAGAGAGTGAAGCCAGGCTGCTCCTTGGAGGCAAGGATTCTGAAGCTTCGTCTGACATACTTTGGACAAGTTGCAAGGAGGGACCGGTCCTTGGAGAGGGACGTCATGCTTGGGAGGGTGGAGGGACAGCGCAGGAGGGGAAGGCCCTCTATGAGATAGATGGATTGATTCCATCCCTGGGGTAATGGGGGCAGGTGCATCAGAGACAATAATATTGGCACAGGATAGAGCAGTGTTTAGGGCTGTTGTACATAGGGTTGCTACGAGTTTCAAGTGAGTCAACGGCACATAACAACAACAACAGCAACAACACTACACATCACTTATTCAGAAGTTTCCCCAGCGTCTGAGCGACTTGCCAGGAGTTGTGTTGTTTTACCTCTGTCCTCAACCCCACAAGGACGGAGAAGGTTTAGGGCTGTTGTACATAGGGTTGCTACGAGTTTCAAGTGAGTCAACGGCACATAACAACAACAACAACAACAACACTACACATCACTTATTCAGAAGTTTCCCCAGCGTCTGAGCGACCCCTTGCCAGGAGTTGTGTTTTACCTCTGTCCTCAACCCCACAAGGACGGAGAAGGTTGAGGTACAATTACAGAGCACTGGCCTGTCCCACCCCACTTACGACGCACACATTTGTTTCTCCCCTCCCAACCTTTCACAGATCCACACTTTTCATAGTTTCACATCACTTTTATTAGAACGCCCCCCGCAAAATTGCTCTACAGGATATTCCATTTCTCTAACATACCCCTGATGGGTGGGGCTTAGGTCTTCTCCACTCTTTGCTACAAGACCCCATTCTTTTTCCTCCCACCTGAGGACCCAGGAGTCAGGAACCCCCACTCAAAGAACAGGACTGAGTCCCGTCATCCCCCCAGGAACCAGGAATCCAGGCTCCCAGACCCCCTCCCCCTCCTCTTCTCCTTTTTAACTTGCAGATGAAGTTGGGGGACCCATTTGGGCTCAGCGGGGAGTGGAGAGGCGCTGGCATTCATGCATCCGGTAGGCACACATGTAGAAAATGCCTGCATGAGAAGAGATTCCAATTGGCTCCTTGACTGCTGTTCCCACTCAAAGAGACCCTGATGCCCTCTCTTCACGCCCTTTCTCTCTCGGTGCCCCTCGTAGACTCCTCTGTCCTGGAGTGTGGAACTCAAGGCTGTGAGGTCTTTGTGGAAGGTCTCATCCTCTCACTAAGGCAAATGTTACTTAGCCTTTCCCCAAACACTGACCTTCCCACACCCCTTCAACCCCCAGACCCGTACCTGCAAAGAACGTCATGAGCAGGGCCACCCAGCCCAGGATGTAAGACCAGGAGAAGCGCCAGTCCCCAAAGCGGCGGCCGAGGAAGCTGACCGTGACTCCAGTGTAGATGGCCAGGGCCAAGAGGACAAAAAGGGCTGATGAGAGAGGAGTGGAAGTGGGAGTGCGGTGAGCTTGGGCATGCGGGTAGGAAATTGGAGATGGAAACAGAGGGAGTGAGACTGGAGGTGGGGAGAGAATCAGAGACAAGAGCATGGAGGTGAGCATAGGGGTAGGGGTTGGGTCGGAGATTAGGATGAGGTGGAGTTGAACGTGGAGGTAGCAATGACTTGGGAGGAGGGTTGGGGTGGGGATGGGGGAGATCTGGAGTGAGAAATGGAAGTGGAGTTGGGGTGTGGTGGGGGATTGGAGTTCAAAGGGGGCGTGAAGAGGAGCAGGAGGTGAGAGTGGGTGATGGGTGTGTTGGTTTCTTAGGGGTTGGGCATGGGTAGGGAGTCGGGAGTGGGGTAAGGTGGACCCACTCACTGGAAGCGAAAAACATGATGCCGGCGGAGAAGGGCCTTGAGAGGCGGGTGAACGTGGGCTGCTGAGCAAAAGCCAGGATGCCCAGGATGATGCCCGAGGTGGCACACAGGACGGACAGGATCATGAAGGCCCGGGTGGCATTCCAGTAGGCTGTGGGAAGTACATGGGGTTCACCTCTGGGACTTCCATAGTGAACACCGCTCCCTCAGAAGCAAGAATACTAGGTCCCCTCCAAATCCCGGACCCAGCTCCTCCTTCACCTCCTTCCAAATGATCTCCGTCTCTTCTAGAAAACTCCTATTCATCCTCCAAAGGCCATTCTCCAGTCTCCTCTTTCATTCTTCAGGCACTATCCTTCCCCCCTCCCTTGCTTCTGGGACATGACTCTGTCTCCTCCACCAATGTAGTGACTCAGCTGCTCTTCCAAGGGCTGGTGCGTCCAATCCACCCAAGAGTTCAGTGAGAGAAAGACCAGATCAATCCCCAGAGTGATTACAGCCAACAGGGAAGTTCTCCTCTGTCACCTGGAGTCACTGTGAGTCAAAAATTGCTGGTGTCTGACAACCACCATCCCTTACCTGGAACACGGCTGGCTTGATACCAGGTCAGAACACTCTCAGCACAAGTGTGGTTACCATAGAGACGCGGCGAATGAGTGAGTGAACTAATGAATGAATGTAGACCCTTCACTCCTCTCTGCCCATCACTCACCTCTCCCACTTTGCCCACTTCCCGTCTTTTCCCATCACTTCCCTAGATTCTGGAAACATCTTCTTTCTTTCCCTTTGACCTGCCTACATGCAGCGCTGTGAGTACAACAGCTTTGCTTGTCTCATTCTCCTCTCTATTCTCAACATCTGTTCCAGGCACATAATAACCAAACCAAGGCCACAGCGGTTGAGCCAGCTCTTACACAGCGCGGCTCCCACACAACAGAGCAGAGCTGCCAATGTTGTTTGTTGTTGTTAAGTGCCGTCAAGTCACAGGCCACTCATAGCGACCCTATGGACAAAAGTCCTCAACACTTGTGTGACTTTCATCCTTTCTCCAGGTTCATAGAGTCTGGAGGCAAGCTGTTATGGAAGTGGATGTCACTCCTGCTCCCGAGCTTGTTTTAATTGGGGAGCTCCACCAAACACTGTCCTCCAAAGGGGATTCCAAAACTGGGCGTCTGGAAGCAGATGGGCACATCCTCCTTTTACAAAGCAGCTAGTGGATTTGAACCACTTTCTGGTTAACAGCCAACATCCAACCCACTGCACCCCTAGCACTCTATGAGAAGCCAAATTTCACACTAAATATTTGTAATAAATTGAAAGCTTTTTCAGGATGGAATTCACCCTGGGGCACCAAGGCAATCCTTAAGGGTTTACCAGATTCTTGCCTTGTATTTGCTGACCCCTCCCTTCTGAGTCAAGAGGAAGGTTTTCAATAGAAAGAGCTTGGCTTCATTTGCATTGAATTCTCTTTGTGATTTACTTCTTGATAATTTTCAGTAAAGATACAGGGAAGCTGGAATCCAGGCCTTCAGTTGTTGGAACTGCTGGCTCCCTGTCTTTTATGCTGTTTTATCTGGCTGTCTGTCTCATTATTAATAACTGTTAAATACTTTACCCTCGGTCTGTAACAGGACTCCTTGGCACATGCCATCAAACTCACTGCTGTTAAGGGCATTCCTTTTCCTGGTGGCCTGCCAACAGGTCTCTGAGACTATGAATCTGCATGGGAGGAGACTGCCTCTTCTGGCTTCCAACAAGTGACTGACAAACTTGAACTGCCAACCTTTGGGTTAACAGCCCAACACTTAACCTTCTCTACCACCATGGTCTTCGCAATCACTTGTTATGCATCAGAGAGTTGGACAATGACCAAGGAGGATAGAAGGAGAATTGATGCCTTTGAGCTTTGGTGTTGGAGAAGAGTATTGAGATACCATGGACTGCTAGGAAAACAAACTGATTCACCCTGGAGAGGGTTAAACCAGGCTGCTCCTTGGAGGCAAGGATTCTGAGGCTCTGTCTAGCATCCTTTGGACATGTTGTAAGGAGAGACCAGAACTTGGAGAGGGACATCATGCTTGGGAGGGCGGAGGGACAGCACAGGAGGGAAAGGCCCTCTATGCGGTGGATTGATTCAGTGACTGGGATAATCGGGATGGGAGTGTCAGAGACAGTGCGATTGGCACAGGACAGAGCAGAGTTTAGGGCTGTTGTACATAGGGTCGCTATGAGTCGCAAGCGACTCGACGACACATAACAACAACAACCACCACCACCACCAGGGCACATGATGTCAATGGTGAATGTTGAGCACGGGGGTCCTTTCTTTTTTTACTTTTATAATGTTTTAAATTTTATTTTATTATTATTATTTTATTTTATTATTTGTTGTGTGTACCATGAAATTGGATCTGACTGGTACAGGAGGAGAATGTCCCTCCTTCTCCAGCAGAGCATACGGTGGATTTGAACTGCATACCTCTGGGATTGCAGTGCAGCTTCTTGCCACTAGGCCACCAGAGCTCCCTTAGGGGGTCCTTTCTTGTTGCATGCTTAGTTAAGAACTGGTCCCCAAGGAGATATCTTGGGGACAATAGCCACCATCATCTCCCCTTTCATTAGGAATTCCTAACGGCATAGGGTCGCGATACATCACAGGCAACTCAACGGCACATAACAACAACAACATACTATGACAGTTTCGGAAGTAGGAGTGGCATCCACTCCCTAAACAACATGCCTCTGGAAACTCTGTGAACTTTGATAAATGTCGATAGTTGTAGAGGGTCTAAAGGGCTTTTGTTCTGAGGGTCGATATGAGTCATGCTTGACTTGAAGGCAATCAACAACAACAACAATGGCATGTTAGTTAATGTGCTTGACTGCTATTGCGTGGTTCAAAGCCA